AATCCCTTTTGTCTTCTTTGTCTAGCTTTGTCTATCAATTTCAATAATCAGCCCGCTGGAGTCGTTTTCCGTCTATAATTTGGATTGCATTTTGCAAAAACGAACCAGTTGCTAAGATTGTGCAACTTTTTTCGTTTTGGAAGAAAACCCTGATTATTCATTTACAGTTTCTATTTTACTCGCTAAAAACTGTAAATTTAAGACAAAATTACAATGTAAATTTCACATTTGCTCATCCTTTCGGTGACTTTATTGCAAAGGATGAAAATGCACAATCTTAGCATTATCGCAATTCTTCCGGTTCCTTTTTGCAAAATGCAATCCATTTACAAGTGGTTCAAAAATTTATCGGGAAACGGGTGATAAGTTGCCTGATTTACTATTGAAGAGAAATTAATCAATTTGGCAACCGTTTGAGAAATGAACTTGTGATTTGAGCGATTAGGAACAGCGGCGTGGCGTGCTTTGCGATGTATCGATTGATCGGCCATTGGAACCTATGGAAAAGTATCGATAAACAGGGTGTTCGCAGCGAACACCTTAGTAATCGATTCTTTACCATAGGTTTAAGTGGCACAACAATCGATATATCGCAATTCACGCCACGCCACTGATTAGGAATGGACCCGCGAGTCGAGTCTTTGACTTTGCACGCCCGCGTCGTTTCACGTCACGTCGCGTCGCGTAGTCATCGTCTCACACTCCCACGCGTGTATTTTGACCGTGTCTGCCGTGCATCGGGCGTAGTTACCATGTTGTCACGCTAATCATATGTGTTTATCTCCAATTATTACATTCAGTAGTCTGCCGTGCCAAGGAAGAACACCGTATGAGCCTTCAGACGTTGCCACATTTCCTTCCATAAAAATCAAATTCAGAGGGAAACTCGAGGATATTTTTCCTCAAATTTTTCAGAAGTGCGATTTTCCTTCGCACGGCAGCAGTGCAAAACCTCTGATATATCGTGACAGGTTTGCCGCCGGATTGAAGTGATAGTCAAGCTCAAAAACTATACAGTGGCGTGGCGTGAATTGCGATGTATCGATCGTTCTGCCATTTAAACCTATGGTAAAGAATCGATTATGAAGGTGTTTGCTGCAAACACCCTGTTTATCGATCCTTTCCCATAGGTTTAAATGACAGAACAATCGATATATCGCAAAGCACGCCACGCCACTGCAAACTACGTATCCGCCTGATTGCAGTATTCAAAATTTCTGCTCCAATTCTATGTTTCAAGAGGGAACGAGGCAACTTCATCGCTTGGAATTTTGTGCTCCTAAACTTTTTACAGTTTTGTTCGCAATTTAGTCTAAATTATGTTAAAATTCCAAGGGCAAATATGAAAAAATATTGGTTTCATCCAGGAAAATTTTGCAACTCCCAAATGCTCTTACGGCGTTCTTCCTTAGCACGGTAGCGGTGCAAAACAGCGGCGTGGCGTGCTTTGCGATGTATCGATTGATCGGCCATTGAAACCTATGGAAAAGTATCGATTAACAGGGTGTTCGCAGCGAACACCTTAGTAATCGATTCTTTACCATAGGTTTAAATGGCACAACAATCGATATATCGCTATTCACGCCACGCCACAGGTGCAAAACCTCTGATCTATCGTGACAGGTTTGCCGCCGTATTAAAGTGATAGTCAAACTCAAAGACCAGGTATCCTGATTGCGGTTTTCAAATTTTTGGCTCCTATTCTATTTTTCAAGAGGAAACGGGTCAACTTATTTCCTGGAATTTAGCGCTCCTAAACTTGTTACAGAAGATTCAACACTTTGAGAACATTACACTCTCACTCCCTCAGTAATGAAGAAATGGACGACACACGATATCTCTCCGAAGTTGCGACTAGGAGAGTGTTACGATGTCTGCAAATTATTCAAAAGTTACTGGAATTATTATCTATAGGTAGAGCCTCTCTCGACTTGCACGGTTCATTGATATACGAGTACACAGACCTGTGTCCGTCCTCCGCATCTTCGGACGGGAGTACTGTCGTTTCCACCTCCAATTGCACTTGTATTAGTGATTACTTTTCAAACAAAACAAAAACACACGAGATGATCGCTCCTTGATGTGTCTAAAACTCGTGATGCGACAATTTCAACCTCTGTACAGCTCAAATTGCATAACCTCTCAGATGAAGGAGAGCTTAGTTTTCCCCCGAAGTCTTACCTGTTGATTCTGATCTTGCAATGGCATTTGTTTTAAGCGCTCAGCCGATAGGCAGCGCTTTTTGATTTCGACTTGCCTCTGAGTACTAGTATACCAGTGCTAATACGTTTAAATGGCGCACCAGCTCATCGATGTGTAGGCTTTGGGGGGGGGGGGGGGCC